GCCTCACCACTCCAGTGTATCCCCCATCTGTGGTCTGAGGCCCCAGATTTTTCATGAAGTCGTCTGACTACAGCTTGTGTAGTCACCGCCCTCCTTGTGACATTTTTCAAATGTCGGTTCCAGGTCAGTCTGGTATCCAGAATGATTCCTAGATACTTGACCTCTTAGAGGTTCTAGTCCCTCCAAAATTCTTCGTTTGGTGAAAAGATCTAATTTTGTCAGGCCACACACAATGCAGTTACGTCGAACGATGCGATCTTCAGTTTTGGGACTGTCAATTTTTGAACTGAAGGAAAAATGTGCTTTCACCACACACACAAACATATCGTCAGTTTTAATCGAACGATCTTGAAGTGAAAAATGTTTTTAAATACAAAAAAACATTTCTCGTGCTTTTGTTATTGCAAGAGCCAATTACAAAGACAAAAGCGTTTCTGGGTGAAAGATTGGTTGTTACAACGTGATACATTATCTCATATGAAGTGCGAAAATTAAGAACTAGTGCAACAGATGACCTTAAAAATTGCCTCAGAATGAATGACACATGTTTTAATAAACTTTTATAGATGGTTAAGCCCTCAATTTCAAAGAAAAATACAAAAACGATTCATCTGAACGCTCTGATTTTCGCGCTCTTTGAGTTTCTTTCGGAAAGCACTTCGCAAATTGCTTATTCTTTTCTTTACATAATCAATAATTGTATCAACATTTGTATCAACAGTTTTGTAAAATTCCAACAATTTTCTATAAGCTTTAGTTTTTTCCTGTCTGTTTGAATAAACTTTACTTTTAATTTTCCAGAGGCAGGGCAATTATTGGCTATATAGGCCTATACAAATTAATAAAATCGGTTAAAAAAGTCGTCTTGTTACTTAAATCGCTCATTTTGATAGTACAAAACTTCCAACGGCTCAAATTTCTTTTACTTGAAATCAGGTATGTAAGAAATATTTATTTATTTATGTAGTATTTGGAAATCTTTTCGAATAGTATTTACCAAAAAAATTTCTGCAGAAATGCATAATTTTCAGTTCTTCAACTTTAGAATAGCTGAAACCAGTAACATAAAAGCACTTTACTGTGTTTTATTCTAGAAATTTTTCTAAACATAGAGATGCAATAAAAACGTCTTGCGGAAGTGTGCCATTTTCATTTATTGATAAAATATAGCAAGATTTGAAAAGTACTCGGCAATTGAAATTCGTAAACAGACGCGTTTTAACTTACAGCGTGTTTTGATTGCTTTGGTTAGGTTTATTTTGGTTTGGTTGGGTTTGTTGGTTCATTTTTGTTTATTTTCGTTTTTTTATGGAACGGTATTGATGCTTAAATTACAGTATCTACTAGGTTAAGTTCATACCTACACAATAAAAGTGTTTAGAATGTAAAGGAGAAACGTTTTCATGTAACTGATTTCAGTTATTCTAAACTCTAAAAAAGATTTTTCTTTATTTAAGTAAGAACAATTTTCGGATTTTCGCGGGGTTTTATACAGGACACTGTCTCCTCAACACCTCATGCAGAAGATTGAAGCTTCGAATTAATTAATCACCAAACCTCTTTTTAAAAATTCAAGTTACACAAAAAATAGACGGGAATCTACAAATTTTAGCTATTTTTGGTGATGTCGACAATATTATTTCTGTACATATAATTAAGTATCCACAAATCGCTTTCAAAAACAATTAAATTTAACTAAACATTTTTTCAACCATTCGCTTAATACCAAACTAATGTCGAAATAAGAATTTTTCCCATTGAGCGAGTTGGTTCAAAGTCGACGAGGGTTTTTATTGTGCCATTATCTACGAATGCCAGGTCAAAACAATTATTTAGTGGTTAAACATCGATAAATGTAAATGATGTTGTCGTTACGGTCGGACGAGCTCCATTTTTAGGGTGGTTTGAATCGTTTACGGAATTTATCGAAAGATATTAGGAAAAAGTTTCGAATAGATCTCCTAATTAGACCTATTTACACAATACAATGTGTCACAAATTAGGTTGCATCGTTTACCCCTCAGAAAAACAAAGACGGGAATCTACAAATTTTAGCTATCTTTGGTGATGTCGACAATATTATTTCTGTACATATAGTGGTATCCACCGTCGCTTTCAAAGCAATTAGAATTTGCTATTTAAAAAATAGTTAGAAAATATTTGATATTACGTGGTGCTACATCTCTATACTGACTATATTCGCTGTCATAGACTTATGAATGGTTTCATCATTATTATAGTTTTGTTTTTTTTTTTTTTTTTTGTTATATTGTTTTTTAACTAATAATGATAATTTCAACCATAATAATCTTTTATTTTCGTCCTTTAACTCCCGAAAGAGCATAGTGACATCATCAGGGGCTTGGAACACCTCAGTAAGAAAATTCCCACTCTTCCAACTCCCAGTATATGACATGCCAAGAATGAAAAACTTTGAGAAACACCTCACTGTAGTATTGAGCATTAAGAAGGATTGGAAGAGTGAAACGTTTGCTCAGCATGTAAAAGACCATACCTTAACTTGGTGTACTGATGCTTCCAAAGCCAAAGCAGGGACAGGAATAGAATTATTTGGTTCAAAAGTGAGTCAGGGGCTAATTTTCGAGATTGTGGAAAGTTGGAAAGCTGGTTTTGAAAAGCCCAAAATGGAGCGTTCATCTGCGATAAATTACAGACCAATATGCCTACTTAATGCCAGCGGGAAACTGTTTGAGTCCTTAATAAAAGCTAGACTGGAGACTGAACTGGAGGAAAACAATAGACTGTTCGATAGTCAATTTGGATTCAGAAAGGGCAAATCCACAATAAACGCTCTTAACATAATTGTGGACAAGGTCGTCCTGATAAGGCAACGCAGCTGGAAGAGTAGGGGATACGTAGCCCTTCTGACTTTGGATGTGAAAGCATTTGCTCTGCTCACAGTATTATAGACCAATTGAAATTAATGGGCATCAGCAGGTACCTAATTAGGGTAATCCAGTCCTACTTATCATGCAGGAAAATAGAGGCGGAGGACGGCCAAACCTATAAAATGAGTTGCGGGGTTTCTCAGGGATCAGTACTTGGCCCGACGCTGTGGAACGTCTTCTATGACCAAGTGCTGAGGTTGGACATAGAAACTGGGTGCGAGATTCTTGCTTACGCAGATGACCTGGCAGTTCCGATCACAGCCTCAACGCCCAATATGTTGAAAATAAGAGTGGATGATAATCGGCGTCAGGCTGATAGCATGCGTATCAGCTTAGCAAAACAGGAGACGGAGTTGCTTGCTTTGGTGGGACAACGGAAATTAGAAGGCTGGAGCGCTGATATCATGGGAGTGACTATTATGCCCTGCAAAGCTGTAAAGTACATGGGAGTGTGGTTGGACAGCGGTCTGCGTATGACCACCCACGTCCGCAGAATAGTGGAAAAGGCCATACGTGCAATTAACACACTGTCGCGGGTAATGCCCAATGTTGGCGGACCTAGGGCTATGAAGTGGAGGACGATGGCATCGGCCGTGACTTCTATAATATATATGCTGCTCAACTTTGAAAAGAGCTGTAAATATCAACACTACAGATATTTTACTATTGTTAGCAACATTATAAAGCTTCCAAGCATTCACCATAATACTGTCCAAAGTATTACAGAATAAAAGCCACCACCAGCAAATTCCCCAAAATTCTGGTTCTGTAATTGGCTATTCCGTTATCGTGCAAATCCACCCCATATATTTTATTATATCATTAATGTGATTACGATGGAAGCTGTGGATGTGGAACAATAACATCTTTTTTATTTTCTATTATAACGTTTGACTTTATTTATGGGTTGCACATTATGTACGTTTCTACAAAGGATTACGCAAGAGTTATCATTCCAACGGACAACTACTGAAACTTTCGACATCTATATCTTCTTCATCTGTCAAAGCATCGGTGTCTGGAGGTATATAAACTGCATTCAGTACAACTAATAATAAAAAGCAACATTTTTATTCAATTATGAACTATAGACGCAAGTAAATAATTTCTTACCATTATTATCATTTTCCAGCTCAAAAACAACACTTTCCAATTCCTCTTCTAATTGTCTTTGCGTCAAAAATCGTTTGTAAGGCATCTTAGCTAACTTACATGCATATAACACGAAACACAAACTAATAATAACACATTTATTCGGTTATTATGACTGTGCACACGTTCGTCAAACCTTGTCAAGACCGGCAAAATTTGGCTTCTAGCTCATTTTTATTACCAGCGGTGCGCGAATGCACCACCTAATATTTTTGGAGAAAAATTAAGGTTTTTATAGAGACTGTGGTAATTAAAATCGTCCTTTATCATAAAACGGAAGATCGCCGACAGATTAATGGTGGCCAATAAAAAAATGGAAATAATTATTAAAATGTGGAAATTTTTCAAAATTCGAATATATGAATAACTCGCAGATTTGTTTTGTCAAATTTTATACGTTTGTGTTTTTTATTACCCGAGGAGAAAAAATGCCTCAATAAGTATTTTTATTAACATAAATCTATTATCAACGAATGGGTAAAAAAATCTAGGCTCCAAAACAATATTTTAATCAAAATTTGATTTTCATAAGTTGCTGGTGCGTTCATGCACCAATGGGATAAAATGGGTTAACCATGTGTGATTTCATTGATTTCCTACTGTTGCTAGCACACGCCATCCACACTGCGCCGACAACTTGTCTTAAAATATACGAACAAAACATAGACACTCTGATCATTACCGACTCGAGGCGGGACATTGCAAAGTCTCCGAATTTTGAAACAAAACAAAAATGTTGCAGAAATGTATTGGATTTGTCGCAATTTTGTCGTAAAACATGAATGTTTCTGTCTTGCCGTTGTTTTGTTTTCTTGGTCTGGACCCGGCATCAGATTTTCCGAGAAAAAAAAACTACCCCCAACTTCGTAGTAAATCGTCCCACTCCGGCAACCCCGCCGATTCGAGCCCTCTACGTCAGGGCCCGCGCTCCAGTCGGCCAGACCCGGGGCGGCCCTCCCCCCTGCCTCGCCACCCGCACGACTCGTCCGGTCGCCTGGCCATCCACGATTTCCAAGGTTACGACGACGCGACGTCGAACAGTGGTGCGCTTTGCTTTGCCCGCCCGTGGTGGTGGTGGTGGGGGTGAATCTGAGCACGGCGTGCGCGCGGCTGCCCGCATCCACTTTTATTTAGTTGGCTTAGAGTCAGAGGGTGTGCGCCACTACGGTTCAGCCACGACGAGACGGGTCCTATTTTTTCGAAACGCACCCTCGCGAAAAAAGGCTAGTTTTTCGGTCGATTTCGACGACGTGAAGTTCGCACTCGAGTCTGATTAGGTGTGTCGTGCCCGATATGTACGTTGCCGAGTAAACAAACTGTGTGAGAGAGAGACGGGAGATAGATATATACACGTTGGTGTAGAGAATATACTGGGAATTTACAAGGACACACTGTTGCGTAAGTGTTTTGAGATTTTGCGCGGATCACGCTGAGCACACCCTTGCTCGATGTTTCGCATGACATCACCGACTAATTTCGGACGATTGAAGTACTTATACATTCAGATTTTTTTTTTAAAAATTGAAGAGTTTGTAGTGCCACAATTCCTTTTAAACATGTATACTAGAAAAATAGCGCTAAAAATATAGTTTATTTTGGGAGAAGGAAGGTTTAACATTATAATTTTTAATAATTCAAGCATGAAATAAGTTTGAATAACGTCAAATTATTACGTATCTTCGATCGATTCCGGTGATCAATAAAAATGGGACTTGAACCTGTTAATAAAAAATAAAGCTTGATCAGAACCTCGAATAAATTGGTGGAATAAATTAGTGGTTTTAAATTATACTTTATACTTAAAAATTTACAATCATTCACAATGTCTAAAACGATACAATTAAAATTAGTAGAACATTCGTCAGTTGATTCCATAGAGAAAGCCTAATAATTAATTTATAAAACAATAAACCTTTTATTTTTAACCACAATTCTATTTTTTTTGACGGATGATAGGTAAATAAAGGCCAAAATAACATAACTTGCAAATTTTGGAGTATAATTAGTGGAAAAAGTTAAAAGTTTGTTAATTTTTTCCATTAATTAAAAATTACTACCACTAATTTTGACGTTTTGAATGCATACATTGAAATTAGAATCTATTCTAATTGCACCCACTAATTTATTGCAGTAAGTTCTGAATGAAGCCATAGGAATGAAGCTAAAGTGCAGTTAACGTCGATTTATTTATTTTGAACTAAACAGTGGCGGATACAGGAATTTATTTTAGGGGGGGGGGGGCAAATAAGCCCAATTTTTAGATTTTAGTGGGAGGCTGTGCACAATGTGCCCCCCTCTGTACTCTCCACTGGAACTAAATAAAAAAAAAACTTTTTAACTTATCAGTGGCGTATCTAAAGATTTAAGAATTTAAGATTTTTTAAGAAAAAATATATCTACGCTTATTAAATACATCTTAAATAACTTAAAAACGATTTATTTTAAGCATAAGAATATGTTTAATATTCATTATAAAGTAAAAACCCGAGTAAAAAACCTTTACACTAGTAAAATAAAAAAGTGGGTTTCCATTTAAAGAAATTGATTTATGATAATTTTTTAATCGCTCAATTCCATGACAGCTACTGCCAATATTATATGATATTCGAACAATTTCATTTTTGGAATCGATAGCCACATGTCTTCTCTTTATGTCAAAGTGTTTGTGGTAATCACTAAATTTGACGTTTATGCTATAGACATTTTTTGACTGGCAGTTTTATGCAAAAATATAATTTATTATCCCAAAAACGGTTAATGTATTTGATATTTGATATCAAAATTCATAAAATTTTACAGAGAATTTAAGTATGTACTAAAAAATGGGGTTACCTATCTAAAAGAAGAAAGTTGTTGTCAACTTCCGGTATTTCCGGAAGTGCCGCCATATTGAAAATATTCTAATCGATACCTATATATCATTGTATCATTGTAAAACAATGATCTGCAAAAAAATTCCGATCTAGATATTGTAGGAACTAGGAACTCTAGGAACTTTTAATTTTACCGCTGCACTCTCAGCTTGGGACCCCCTCTATACCCTCACGTCGTCATCGTCAGATGCAAAAACAACAAAAAGAAAAAAACTATTTACGTAAAATGTCTAAATATAATTACTTTAAATTTTTAATAACAATCCTTTTTCAGCCATCAATCTTGTTTCATCTAGAATTAATGCTATATACTCAAAAACTATAAAGATAATAATACTAATTCAAGAAATTGGAAAGATCTCATTAAATTTACAGTTACAACAGTTACAATTTGAAATCTTATCTGACTGATAAACTGCCTGGATTTATTTTGAACTCTACAGTAAATATTTATGTCATTTTTTCTTGTTTAGGAAAACCAAATACTTCACTATTGATCAAGTTATTAGAAGTTCACTAGAAGTATTTAAAGAAATAGAAATTATAAAATACAGCTTAAATTAATATTAATTGCGGTAAACATTATGTTGGGTGTGCTGTGATGATTTTATATGTAATTTTTGGATAATATTCGACACTGTTTTTTGTTATGACACAACACTGATGAAGGCTATAATGTTAGCCGAAACGTTTTTTTTATACCAAATAAAGATAATGAAAAACCAAATGAAAACTTAATCAGCGTTTTTCCCGAACCTAAATCCCAAGAAAATCAAAAATTTTAGAATATTTAGAAACAAGGTTCAAGAACATCAAATTTTCCAAGGATTAATAGTATTTATATAGTGTAATCGAATTAAAATATTATTATTTCTACCCCTAATAGGTAGAATTTGGTTTGGTTTTTACCCGATATTTTTTTACTTTTTTTGGTGTGCCTACGCCTCTGGTTGGTTAGGGTGTTCATTATTAACCTCTGAAAATCGGCGTAAAAACTGGCCGTGCCTAACTTTTAACTCTGCTGAATGTTAATTTGACGAAATACAACATTGTTCGTTCGAATTCAAGGGCGTAGTCAAGCAAAAAATATAGGTGGGTGGATGGATAACTAGTTTTGATTTGCAAACCAGACAACTATACACATTAGATTCTTGCTGCTCGATGTTGAGACGGTGGTTTTTTATTAACTTCCAAGTAAAGATCCAAGTATTCTGTGATTGCGATACAACATGTTATAGGTACAGGGTGTCCCAGAAATAAGTGCAAATATATTAACTGGTAGTATTTCGCCCCCAAAAACACGCCTATATGAGGAATTGTTGAAAATTTTATATTTTTCTTGACATTTTCCGGGAAATGAAAAAAAAACTTTTTTAGTGCTAGTAGTTTATTCACTTGAGGCGTCGAATAAGCTGAAAAACCCTGTGAAAAACCCTTAATAGCCGGTTATCGCCAGCTGTTCTCAAAATGTTGCCATCATTATTTTTAATTTTCCAAATTAAATAACTCGGTTATTTTTAATTTATTTTAAAAATGATATTTCTTTTGACCAGATTTATCACCCCTTTACCACCATTTAAAATAGCTCTATAATTGATGATCGATTTTAAACTGGAACTTAATTGGCGTATGTTCACTTCTCATTGCCTAATACAAGGAACAGCACATTTGCCAGGCTGTCGCATTGACATAAGATGTGTTCTGTCGTTTCTTCTTCAGATTAATAAAATCTGCACAAGACTTCGTTCGTCAATCCCATCCGCTTTAGGTGCCTATTGAACTTTCAATGCCCCGTCAGTAGTATTATTTCAGTTTTGGACCGAGTTTTGGATTGTCTTTACTTGTTAGATCTGGGTAAATTTGGGCAAATCTACTATGTACTTCTTCAGGAGCTGGAGTATTTGGGGAACAGTGGCGGATACAGAGGGGAGCCATAAATTCTGTAAATTGGGTTAAATATTAGGCTTTTGGGTTAAAAATGGCGCCCTAAAAGGCATATTTGACATTATTTTTTATTTGCCCCCCCCCTAAAATAAATTTCTGTATCCGCCTCTGTTGGGGAAAGACCAAGGGCGGTAAGCTTATGCTTTTCCTTGGGTAAATACTCAACCGTATTCCAGACAGAAATTTTCGTTCTACAATGTGCAAGAGAAAACAATAGAAGAGCTTATTCAGGTAAGCTCATCCAATATACGCTCAGAGAGTCAGGCGGCACTTGGGGCGTTTGCCTCGCCGCATAAGGGTTAAATAAAGTGTTATATTGTGAAAAATTGTTATTTTTTTAAAATGTTATTTTCCAACTGAATGTGACACATACTAAGGCATCTAAGGCGATGCAGATACCTAGTTGCCACAGTTTATGTTATTTTTCAAATCTAAATTAGCCAAAGCGTGATACTTAAAAACAACTAACATAGCGTCAAATTCCTGCTAAAGCGACCGAAACAGACCAGAAGAAATAGAGAAAAGAATGCACCGAGTTCACTTCCCTGCAGTGAAAAATCTAGCGGCCCATTCATACGCAGCAGGAACGCTCCCATTGGCCCGTTCAAACCCGCGCGTCCCCATCTCGAAAGCCTTGGCGCGCTTTCACGTACCCCGACCAACCCCGATATCGCCCGAACACCCGATCGTCTTGGGGACCGAACATTTGCTGACATGGCGTCGTAACGCTGTTGTTGTGCTTTCGTTCCTCCTGCAAAGGGACTCGACCCTTTTTTATTTCGCCGTTTGTGTCCGTGTTTCTATGTGCGTGTCGCTTCCACCAAGGTAGAAAATCATGTGAGCTGTAAAAAGTGTCGTTAATTGAGTGCGTTTGGCCAGGAATTTTGCTGCTGGGGTCGTCGACATAGTAGCGGGGTGTACGTGCTGCACAGATCGATTCTAGTCGGAAAAATCAATAGTTTAAACCCTCATGCCCGCAGGAGGATAACTCGACACCCACATAGTTCGTGCTGACGTCGTCACGCGCCGAATTTACCAGTTTGTTTAGCGTTTTATTCGGTTTAATTTAAGAATTCCGGAGGGTTGTTGCGCAAAACTACGAGCGACAGTAGGCGGGGTAAGTAGAATTATAATTTTAAACATGGCGCGCCAGCAGTAGCGTTCCTGCCGAACGGAAATTTAAAATTATTTCCCCGGCGACAGGCCAGCGCGCGGGCATTTAAACAGATTTTTAGGTTAGTTTTGTTGTTTGATGCTTTTATGATGTAATAATCGCTACGAGAGTTCAAGAACGCCGTGCTAATCGAGTCTTGTTCTGTCAACCAAACACCTGTGTGAATAGAGAGAGAGGGAGAGAGAACCGTGGAAGGCCTTGATTTCCTGCTGCAGGCGGCGCGGATTTTAAATTTTGTTTTACATAAATTATTATTTCATTCAGTCGGCCTAACTCTAACTGTTTTTATTACCTCACCGTGATTTAAATGTTATTATTATTTATTATGATAAGCGTAATATTATTTTGTTTTCTTCGGGAATATGTTCGGGTTTGAAGTTAGATAAACGCGGCGTGCTGCGATGGGT